GGAACTCCCGAAGTAGGGATAACCCTAGACACCCGAATAGGTTTCTTCAGGCTTTCCAGAAGTCCCGACACCCGTCGGAACTTCCTACAGTCGGAACTCCCGACTTGGGTCGGAACTCCCGACAACGAAGCATCTTTCCGGGAGCATAACTTCTTCATTCGGACTCCGAATTAGACGTTCCATATATGTTTTTGACTGTCTCGACGAGAGGAACGCAATGGTGTAGTCTGTTTCATATTTTGACAACTTCACAAAATGGACAATTTTGGTTGTCAACCATTGCTAATATCATTGAGTATCATTCCACGTGCAGTGAGATCAGGGATTCGTCTAACATCAAACACGACCGAGATTGCAACAATTCAATATATATCATGTGAGCATTTGTGTAATCACATGTGAGGAGGACTGATGATTTAATCCGTGCTAGTGCAATTTATTTAATTGTTTGGCATTGTGTTTTGTACGTATAAAGAGAAGCAGAGACATTGCATATCTTTTTGAGAATCATACAGCAAATTAGAAGGCGCCGGCGGCTACTGCAAACCTTTCTCATTATACCTATATTTTGAACCGTCAATATCTCGTTTTAACTATTTATTATATTATAATTTGTTGATGTATTCAATTTAATCTTTGAATTTAATAGTTATCATACTATTAGTACATGTGTATCAAATTCCTGTGCAAATTTTATAATTGTTACTGATTTGTTAAATAGTTTTACCGAAATGTATATACTTTTTTTTGGCCGGCATACCCTTAACTGAAATCAATCATAGATCCGCCACTGTTCTAGAGGAGGGGATGGTGTTTCTACAGGAGTATGTGGATCTCCCACCTGGCAACGGACTAGCAAGCGTCGCAATGCAGCACGTGACAGTCCGCTGCAAGCATGGCGCTATGCCCACGTGGCGAGCATGCACACCTTCCCAGGCCACGGATGCGTTCCAAGAGCTGCATCAATGATTCTCAGTGGAAGACTAGGGCTTTTTTGACCAATTCTTATGGTAATCCTAAGAAATTCCGTTCAAGCAAGAATCAAATCAATTTTAGGAAATCTCTCGCAGTTAGAGATCTTAATATAAAGTCCAAGATAGCACCTGGAGACACCGTTTCAAAATGGAATAATATTTCATTTTTATACTCATATATTTTCAGGCTCAGTTTGCCACGGATTGGTCCAAACTCAGCATTAGTCATCTGATGCAGAGGTTCAATCTTTTCAGCTTTGAAGGGGCTTGGAATGCTGACTGTAGAGCATCTCGGATGCAGGTTGTTCAACCTTCCAACTTTGAAAAGGAACATCACAAAGCAGGTGGTCATCGGAAGTAAGCTAAGCACTCAGCGCATTAACCAACTTTCAAGGAACATCACAAAAAACTAATTGTAGATCCGTGGGATTGTTGCAGGTGGCGCAGCCGTGCACACAAAATCGAAGAAGGCGGCTTGGAATTATTGCATCCAACTGTCGTCCAACCCTTCCAACTTTACACTTTCTCATCCTTATCTCCGTTCTGTTATCCAACGAGCAGAATAAATGGAATCCAAGTGACGTGACGTCAGATAAGAAAGAATTAATCGGTCATGGCACAAGCAAATAGCTGCCATGCTATTTAGCCCTGCTTGTTTCCACGGCAAAACCTTGCACCTTTAGTCTTTTTTTTTTTTTGACAAATGGATCTCAACAGGTAGACTAAAAGTGAGCTAAATAAAGAAGAGGCTAAAGTTTAGTTCATTTACACCTCAAACTGATCTAAAAGCATTGGAGGATGTGAATGACACCTCATTTTGCACTTTTAGACCCCTTTTTTTTTGCCATGGATCTAAACATCCAAGTAAGGACTAAAGTTTAGCAACAAAAGTTTAGAGGCCATGGCAAATGGATCCAAACGTGGCCTTATTTCACCTCTTCAGCTTTTATCCAAAGCATCAGAAGCAAGAATCTATACGACTGATTGGTTGAGCTCCTCATGCTCCCGTTTCTAAATGCAAAAGGATTCGCTAAGGCCTTTTTTAAATTCAGGGTCTAATGTTTAGGGGTGTCACATCGAAGTGTCACATGAAAGTATTCGGATAGTAATAATAAAATAAGTTACAGAACTCATCAGTAATCCGCGAGACGAATTTATTAAGCCTAATTAATCCGTCATTAGCACATGTTATTGTAGCTTTATTGTAGCACCACGTTGTCAAATCATGGACTAATTAGGCTTAAAAATTTTATCTCGTAAATTAGTCGCAATCTATGCAATTAGTTATTTTTTTAGTCTATATTTAATACTCCATGCATGTGTCCAAACATCCAATGTAATAGGGACTAAACTTTAGGAGGAGGAACTAAACAAGGCCTAAGACAAGTGATTCTTCTGGGTGGAAAGTCATTCTCTGACAAAAGTGATTTTTGTGTTGGTACTGAAAAGTGTTTTTTTTTCTAAAGCAGGCTATATGCACAAACTGCTACAGTACATGAATAAATTAAGAGATGCTACTATTTTTTCACTCTAGTTTATTTCAGAGAATCAATTCATAGAATGATAGAATTAGCACACAAAATCATCTCTCGATGAAAAATTGTTCGATAAAATTTCTCTTGAATTTAGCTTGGAACCTGCTCTGAGATCTTTTGCCAAATAGGCCTTGTATATCATCATACAAAGAAAGAGAAACAAGATCCAGTGGCCTAGTATCGAAGCCAATGTGGTTAGAGGAGGAGAAATGAAGTTAGAACAATGACAACAATTAGAGCAGAAACGAGAGTTGAAATGTGTCGGTGTGGAATTACGTATTTGTTTCTCTTCACAAGCATTGATGATATTTTTATATGCAACATGGGCAAAAATGAGGGCAAAGAGACCATACAAACCATAATTTCTGACATATTTGATCTAGGTTGTTTTTTTAATCCAATTTAAATGTGTGAGATTTTGTTTGAAAATTTGCAAAAACCAAAACGAAAATTATTGGAATGAACTCAAAGTTGCTCATTGTTCCAAATAAATGTAATTCTCGTTTTAATGAGTCAACCAATTTGAAATTTGATAAAGTATATATAGAAATGATCAATAATTATGGTGCATACTAAATACTAAATACCATTTGATTGATTATAAAAAATGTTTTTATTATATATCTATTTAATAAAGGTATAAATATATAAATGTTCATACTATTTTCAATAAACACATTTTTTTTGGGACGGAGGCGGTACCAGATTTTTAACGTCTTTAAACAAAGGTACATCTTTTTTTTTAAAGATAACGACAAGATCATGTTGAAAAACATAAAAAACAATGATCATGAGGATTGAAACGTCCGTCTAAATTGTAAACAAAGTGACTTATTATCCATGAGGCTTCGTGAGCTATATCTTGCAATTCTTGCTTTACAATGGACACAATCAATGAGCATCTCCTGTCATATATGTCTATGCAGCCCGTAGCCCGACGACACGGCCCAAAAGCACGGTTTTTTTGGCCCAGCCCAAGCACAGCACGGCCCGATGCACAAGGGTCGTGCCTGGGCCGCACCCCAGGCACGCGGGCTGGCACAGCACGGCCCGCGTCCTGCTAAGAGCCCAAGCCTCCTTCCTGTGCACAATAACCCTAAGGGCTCGTTTGGCAACCGTGGACCACCACCCAAGGGAGAGCTCATTCAGGCGTGTATGTGGTTGACCCATGGGGGCCACCCAATCCCCATCCTAGGGTCACCAGAGTGTAGGGCGGGAGCGCCACTAGGGTCGGCTCTGTCCTCTAATGTGAGCGTCGCGAGACGATGTCGCGAGGGAGCGTTCCCGGCCCCAACCAAGGATTTTTCTATCCCCCGTGGTTTAGCAGGGTTCGCCCGGGGAACATTCCAAACCACAAGCTTGCCAAATGCAGTTTTAGCCACCCAAGTGTGTCCCTCCCCAGCATGGGTCTGATGCCATGGCTGGCGGGGGTTGAGCCCCGATACTCGTCGACCCCCGTCTTTCCAAACGAAGCCTAACTTGGTTTCCCAATCCCCTCCACCTCCCGTGCCGCCCCTGTCTCTCCCCGTCTCCGACGCGTTCACCTCGCGTCGCGTGAGTCTTCCCTTCCCGCGCCACACGAGAGACGCGAGCCCGTGGTGCTCTCGCTCGTCTAGCTCCTCCCACGTCCCGCGCCTCCGCCGCGTCTCCCACACCATCTCCTCGCGTGAGCCCACGGTGCTCTCGCCGGCGACCACCTCCTCCATGTCTCCCGCATCACTGGACGCCTCCTTCACGCCCCCAGCACCGGCTCGAGCGTGCCGGCGGCCGCCCTCCTCCTCAACGCCCCCGCGCGACCGGCCTCGAGCGTGCCGGCGACCGGCACCACTCCCCATCGCGCGGCCGCACCCCACGCAACCGGATTCGAGCGCGCCGACGGCTGGCCTCGAGCATCCGCTTCCCCCCTCCTCTCTCTCTCTTTGGCCGTTGCATTCTGTGGGCCGTGGGCCGGCGCGACCTGCTATTTTTGCCGTGCTTTGCGGGTTGGCATGGCCCGATAAACAGCCCAGCAGGCCGTGCCTGGGCCGTTGGTCCGACACGATGCCTGCCTCGGCACGGCCCGGGAGACACGACGTGCCGTGCTGGCCCGACACTCATCCGACCCGGCATGGCCCGTTGGACATCTATATCTCCTGTACACCAAAATCAAATCAGTATACATGGTTATTTTTTTTAACATTTATACTTACGTACAAGCTGTCAAAAAATAGTCACCAACCAACCAATCACACCATCAAATGGCTGACCCTTTTGCGCCTTTTTCTTTTCAAAAACTTTGAATATTCCCTTCGTCTGGTTGGGCTGGCTTCAGGTACCTATAAAAACCACCTAACCCTAGCTCATATGATCCGATTTTTGGAGAAAAAAAAATCGCAAAACAGAAATAAATAAAAGTGAGGGAGGAACGCGCACACTTCCCTCCTTCCTTCTCCTTCCCCGCGGGCCGCGGTGGTCTGTCTCTCATCTCCACCTCTTCGCTACGCCGGTGGGGATGCGGCGGCTATGGCGGTGCTACCAGCAGTGCCTGGCCACGCACCCGGTGCGCACTCAGGTCGTCAGCTCCGGCATCCTCTGGGGCCTCGGCGACATCGGCGCCCAGGCCGTCACCCACTACTCCACCCGCCCCGACTGCCGCGGCCACGCCAGCAGCCCCCCTGAGGTAGCAGCAGCAACAGCCCCAATCGGCCACCCTATTACCGCTCCCTTCCCGGTCCGTGCTCGTGATACGCGGATTCCTCCGCCGGTTCCTGGACCGGGTCGGGATTTTGCGAGCTGTTCCTATTCTTGGGAGAAAATGGGAATTTTGCCCTCACGGGTGTGGGCTTCGCTATAATGCACTTAAGTCTGTGGGCTTCGCCAGAATGCCTTACGAAAGATGTGTTTCACGCTATTTTGATATTTTGTGTTTTTTCCAACTTAGTAAATTTCTGACCCTATCTTTTTGACCGAGCGTGACCGTTTTAGCCATGTCTCCTTCTACCTTGTCCTCTTGCCCTGCTTCTCACGGTCACGGCAATTTCTCCAATCTCTCCCGTTCTCTCTCCGTCTCGACCGGTGTTCGGGCGGGAGCCCGACGCCGGCCTCCTGGTGACGCACGGCCAAAAACTGGACAGATAAAGACAAAAATGTGTTTGCCAATCTTCTTACATAGAGACTTAGTGGGGGCATCATGAGCGGTGGCGGCGTGGTTCCCGGGCCGCACGGTGATGATTGAGGCAGGCCACTGCCGAGGGGGCAGGGGCCACTGCCGTGGCCTCCGCGATGGGTCCGGGCAGCGAGCCTTGCCATGGCCTTGAAGTCGAGGAGGCTGCCGCGCCACGTGCGCATCGACCAGGCGTGAAGCCCCGCTACCGAGGACCAAGAGCCCCGGTACTGGGAGAGGAGGCTCAGCAAGGACAGTAAGGAGAGAGAGGGGACGACAAAACCGGTGGCCAGCGGTTTGGGGTGGGTGGCAAGCGCGGCGCCACCACCGCATAAGCTCGCCCACACTGCCGCGGGCTTCTTGGCGCTTGCGCTGCGCCAAAGACGCTTTGCCGGGAGCTGACCATCGGCGGGCGCATCCGTGCTGGCCGTGCCACAAAGTCAGTCTTGTGCCGGGCCGGGCCGCCGTCACTGTGCTCCCCCTGCAGGGTTGTGCCAGGGCAAGGTGCCTAGGGAGGGGGGAGACAGACGCAAGAAGGGTCAAGACGCAGTGGCGGCCAGAGGCGGCGACAGGCGGAGGGCGGACAGCAGCGTCACCGTGGAGGCCGTCAAGTCCGACGGATTGGCGGCGTCGTCGGCTCCGCCCGAACACCGGTCAAGACAGAGAGAGAACGGGAGAGAAAGGAGAAATTGCCGTGACCGTGAGGAGCAGAGCAAGAGGATAAGGTAGAAGGAGACAGGGGTAAAACGGTCACACCTGGTCAAAAAGATAGGGTCAGAAATTTACAAAGTTGGAAAAAACACGAAATGGCAAAATAGCGTGAAACACACCTTTCATAAGAGCATTCTGGCGAAGCCCACAAACTTAAGGGCATTCTAGCGAAGAGACTGGGGTAAAACGGTCACGCCTGGTCAAAAAGATGGGGTCAGAAATTTACAAAGTTGGAAAAAATACGAAATGGCAAAATAGCGTGAAACACACCTTTCATAAGGGCATTCTGGCGAAGCCCACAAACTTAAGGGCATTCTAGCGAAGCCCACTCCCTGTAAGGGCAAAATTCCCATTTTCTCCGGACCTGGTGGTTCCTTGAACTTTTGCGTGTTGTTGTGACCTAGCATATATCATAGAGAATAACCCGTTGTTGATGCCTAGGGGATGTGATGTTTTATCGGCTCGGAGGAGCTGTGGGTTTGATCGGTAACCTCAATCAGTGTCAAGCCAGTCAACTCTGAATGTGCGGATAATGCCTGGATTTGTGCCTTGTTTCTTCGGCTTGTGTGTGGTACCAGCCAAGAAACTAGGGGTTTGGTGGGGAACACCTTGATATGTTAAATATTCTTCGTTTCTAATGCCAAGAGTCTTGTCAAATCTATCTATTGTTGTGGATATCTATAGACTTCTGTGGTGCTGTTAGTGACAACTTATATGAAACTGATAGTCCTCTTGTGACAATACGTCAGACATGGGATAGGAGGTCTGAATCGTCAGTGATGTCTGATGTCACTCCATTTGGGGTGGTATTGGAGCCTTTGTTTTGTGACTTAAGAGGAGTAAGTGGGAAATGGAATGACATGTTGAAGCCACCTCCCTCCCCCCTTTCAAAAGATGGAGGTTTGCCTGCTAAATTCCTTATTCTGCAAATCAGGTTAATGTTCCGTCCATGTGATTTATTGTCGACCTTTTGGTTGCTGTGGCCTTCAGGGCGGTTATAGTTTGCTGTCCATTTTGATGGGTATGACAAAATAAAGTGGGGGTGGGCTTCCTTGTATTCTGTTAATACGTGCTGATAGAGTTACACTTTTCATTTCTTTCTGATAGTAATGGTTAGTCATTTGTCTGGTTGTGTTAGCTTAAGATGTGCTTGTTTGTTCTTTCAACTCTGTTTGCATAGCCAGCATTGTGAGCTTGATTTGATTATCATCAATATGTGATTTACATAACATGCTTGGCTTCTTTCTAAGCAGCGAACCAATCTTTGAATTACTTGTAGCTAGAGTTCATTTGTTATGTTTTTTCTATAAATAAAGTCAGTGCAGTGCAACTCAAGGGCCGAGTATGTTTGCTATGTATTGGCCAGTTAGTTGAAACAAGATATTTATTGCTGTTCATGGTGCATTTGTTCAGATACGAGATTGGAAATTCAAGGAATCCTGACTGGCATTTCGTTTGGTCTTGGGGACCTCATATAAACTATCCGTGCCTCCATGGGCAGTCTATCTATTATTCTTTGTTTGGCTGTCTACCCCTAATTTCTTCATTCTTCAACTTCATTGTTACCCCATTCAACAAAACTCCGTTTCCTTTTACAGGATAAAGATAATAAAGACAATAAAGACTTTAAAGTTGATTGGAGGAGGGTGGGCATCACAAGCTCCTTCGGATTTGCTTTTGTTGGTCCAGTTGGACATTACTGGTTAGTTCCCTGTATTTTATCACATGTCGTTACGCCTACCTGTTTATATGTGTCGGGTTCATAAACCCGGGGTCCCTCGCGGGCCGGCTCCCAACAGAGGCTCGGCCTAGCAGGCAACGTTGCAAACAACGCACAACTCATGGGCCGACTCAAGTACCTAAACAACAGGCCAGAAGGGCGATCCAATCACCGACCGGAGCGCTCGCTTCGGTCTCCAACCCGCCTCCGGACGGCCTCTCCGACCGGAAGGCCTGGCCAAAGCACTACTTCCGACCCCGACCCACGTCTCCAACCGGGGATGCGCCAAACCCCTGCTCACTGCTCTTCTTCGACTGGCGCGATCAGAGCCGACTGGGACCAACCGACCGGGGATGCCCGCTCGGTAAGGACCAGGAAACGGACGGAGAAAGTAAGGCAGGGTGCACAAGTCAAACCGCAATACCGGGGTCCGTACCCTGTATACCTGTGGAAACAGTACTCTGCGACCTCCCTGGCACGTCAGAACCCAAGCAATGTTGTAGGCGCCGACATTTTCCCCTACAGGATTGTGGGCGCTATTAACTCCCATACGGTAAGGCCCCCCCACATGCCTCTGGACATCGACAGTGTTGTGGGCGCCGGCATTTACCGTACCAGGCGAACATGGTAAAACTCCTTGCAAACCTCCAGGTATCAACAGTGTGGCAGGCGCCGACGTCTGCCATACCCGAAGAAGACAACATAACCTCCCACATGCATCTGACATCCAACAGTGTTGTGGGCGCCTACCATCATCTTGTACCCGCTGGCGTGGGAAGCAAGACTTAGCAGCAAACATACTTCTTTCCTCTCACTTGTAAGGCCATCCCCTTCATCTATAAAAGGGGATGCGCTCTCTTTCAACAGGGAGATTCAGATTCATTCAGATCGATATAGTTCACTAGTTCACAACAACAGAACCACCAGGTTCAAACGACGAGCACACGCTCGAACACTTAGCTCATAGCGGGGCTCCCGTCACTCTCGGCCCTTCCGACCGGAGCTCTTGTACCCCCAATCTTTCTCCTTCTCGTTTGTAATCCCACTGCAAACTTCGAGCACCTGGGCTCAGGAATAAAGTCACCGACCGACTCAAACTGGACGTAGGACACGTTGCCTGAACTAGTATAAACCCTGTGTCATTGAGTGCTAGGCCATCTCCGATCACAACGTACGGCAAAACTACAAATATTTACGTGTTGGTCACTTTCTGCACCGACAATATGTATCTCTTCTTTAGAATCATAGGTTCATGTCTTCCAATTATTAACAATTAAAAACTTGTAAGCTGTAACCATAATCCTACGCTCCCAGTCTCACATAGTCACCACACATCACAGATGAAAGGCAAATACAGAACAACAAACACAGTAACACACTAAGATAAAATAATAAAATTATAGGATAATAAAGAAGATAGAGGATGTAATCCCAACTCTGCGCTGCTGTTCTCCATTTTAGATATCTAGGTGATAGTATGAGTGGCAGTTCATGGTGTCATATTATCAATAAGAACTTGGTGACTGCTTGAAATTGAATAGATCTAAGAACACATGATTTGCTTGAATACGCTGGGGTACTTTCTAGATTTAACAGGTTCATTGGAAACCTGGATATTTACTACTATGGTTATTGACTACTGGTGTAATTGAAAGAGCCAATGGATGCAAGCATTTATACAAATGTATGTGTTTCTTTCAATATAGTAAATCACAATATAATATTACCAACAGCACATAAATCCATTCATGACAACATGAGTGCACAAGTGGTTCTTGTCTCACCGAATTTTGCCCCTCTATTTAGTTATGTGGTCAGGCAGTTGACTTTCCACAAGGGGCAAGCATCAACTTTAATTAAGAGTAGAAGTATCTTGGGCTGTACTTCACAGTTGGACATCCTTATTTGTTCATTTGTATGCTCAGTAGTCCACTTCAACATTGATTTGATTTCCACCAGGTCACGTGCTGTAACGATGCTATGTTTTGGACAGTTAGTAGTTCACCACTGGACTATGTTCTGCTATATAAAAATGCAGATAAACAATATGATCATACAGGTTTTCATTTTTGGACAGAGAAATAATCTAATAAGATATCTGCTGTGGGAACAAACTCCTGCAGTCCTATTCATTCCCACCTTGACTTTTTCATTTGTGATGAATTTTGATTCCACAATCTCCTCACTTATCTGCTGCATTTTGTTGTTCATTTGCAAAAGGCAGTTAAGATTTTGTGGTATGGATGATTTATAAATTTAGTGATTTGCAGATGAAAGCAGTTGTCTCTTTATTTTTAGGAGTAAACAATACGAACTATTGTCAATTGAGCTGTTATATGAGATGTTGCTTGCATCAATATCTGTCACTAAGGCTTTGGTTTTGTTGTATAGGTATGAATACCTGGACCGCTTCATCCGGCGGAGATTTCAGCCTAATACGTTCAAATTTGTTGCCTCAAAAGTTGCCGCAGATGGTTTCCTCTTTGGACCATTAGACCTCCTCCTGTTCTTCTCATATGTTGGTCTTGGTCAAGGAAGGAGCGTAGAGCAGGTGAAGGAAGATGTGAAAAGGGACTTCATTCCCGCTCTGGTGTTAGGTGGAACCATCTGGCCTGCTGTGCAAATCGCAAACTTCCGCTTCATCCCCGTGCGGTATCAGCTCTTGTATGTGAACTTGTTCTGTCTCTTGGACAGTTGCTTCTTGTCATGGATTGAGCAGCAGGGAGACGCTTCCTGGAAGCGGTGGTTCACGTCGTTCCAGAAAATCGAAGACCAGAAGAGTAAGGTTTGATTTGGCTACTTTGAGTCATGTATGGTCCTTTGTCTGGATCAATACCTGTAAACTCTGGTTGATCCAGGAAGATAATGAATGGTAAAAAGGAGAAGTATCTGGCAGCAACTGTTTAAGCGAAATTGCGATGCCAGCAAAGCTGAACATTGATGTCGTTGTAGAGAATTCTTTTTAATCTTTGACGGGAGAAAACGATTGCTGAATTGCTCTGTTAAGTGAAGTGCCTGTTCGTGTGGCAGCAAACTGTTGGTCTCGAAGTGATTCGCTGAGCATGTAAGCTGAAGATGCTTTGGCATACTCTGAATTCGCAGCATACCTGCAGTGTGCAGTGCTAGAGAAAACCGAATTCTGCTGACCAGGTGCAGAATACCTGCACTCGGTAGAGAAAACGCCCGTCTGCATTCTGCTGTATCAGGTGCAGGTGAAGCAGAGCTTTAACCGTGAAAACACCTGCCGGGGAGTGCAGGTATGCTGCGAATTCAGTCAAAACACCTGATCTAATAAGGCGGATGTATTTTATTTGTGATCAGTCTAAACACCTGCCGAGAGCCAATCTCATTGCGTGATGAGCACTAACTAGACCATGATGAATGATTGAACGAAGCAATCAGTAGTACTGTGAACTCGCGCATAGGGAAACAAAAGGAACAAATCAGTTCTAGCCGGTGTTTTGAATCGTGGCCTATGGCATTTAGCGACCTGTCTTCTCAATTAGCTAACCGTTGGCTAAACCATTCTATAGCGGCTCAATTGTAAATGGGAGCAAATACCTTGACCTTCCTCATCCTCAAATAGCTAATTTTTGACTAAATCACGCTATAGCGGCTAAATTGTAATGGAAGCAAATACCTATACCTTCCTCAAACAGCTACATACGGAGCTAGCTGCCGCTGTAGCTGAAGATTTAAAACCCTGGTTATATATCAATAAAAAAATGTACAAATCCCACCCTTGCACCATGTAGGTCTGGTAGCCAAAGACGAACCAAAGACTCAACAAGACTCGGCAGCATGAAGAAAAAGTGGTGCTGTAGAAAGACAAGTATCAATGGATAATGCTCATATGGGCAGCAATGTCTTCACTGACTACACCAATTTGTTGATGATAGTTTCAATAGTTCTCATTTTCAACTTGTACAATTAGTTTAAATATTGTTTTTTTTTCAACTTCTCCTTTGTCTTTGACTCTTTGCAGGGTCCTAGTGACATTGTGGACCTGGAATGTTTCCTTAATTCATTTCTGTGCAGATTCTGGTCTACTTGCTTGGGATAAATAAGTATACCAAATACTTCCTCTTTAGCTTTGTTCTAAGTAACGTCTTTTAATTCTAACCGTGTTTTCTAGAAATATATATTGATGTCCACAAGTTCAAATAAATTCTCTAAGTATCTAATAAACCTGATTTGATGTTCTAGATGTTTTCACATTTTTTTAGAAAATTTATCAAAATTAAAGGAATTTGACTTAAAAGCCAAAGTGAACTATAATTTGGAACTGAAGGATTATAATATAATGTGGCTAGCGAAGGATTCTGATATTCATATGTTGTAATTGAAGGCCACCTTTGAAAAAAAAATATATATTAACAAATACTACTTATTATAGAATTTATTTAGAGAACGAAGTAGGCTGCATCTAGCTATCGTTCATTACATTTTGAAGAACCACACTCTGAGGAATCAAATGCACGTTGCACGTCGCATGATTCAGCTTACAGTTTCAGTCCAGAATGAATGGCAACTACACCACCCACGAGGTTCTCATATTCCACCCTCTGGAATCCGGCTTCCTGAATCATCTGAGCAAACTTTTCCTGCGAGGTACAAATCTGGTCAGCATGTAAGTCACTCACCCGTCTTCTAGCTTAACATCTATCCCAGCAAAAACACTGCCCGTTTTGCAAGGTACTAATTAATCTTGCATAAACCTGAAGATGGTTGAAGTAGAAAATGCCAAAAAGAATGTAATCATATGTTCATGTTTGTCGATAACAAACAAAAGTGCTATTAATTCACAGCACCATTACCTGATTTGGAAACCGACGGATGCTCTCAACCAAGTATTGATACGACTGCCGATCACCAGCAACCAGCTCTCCAATAGTCGGAATCACAGAAAACGAGTAAACATCATAGCTGAAAAAAAAGGCAGCAAAATTGAAAGAGAACAGAAAAAAGATATTGTAGGACATTACACTTGTTCTACTTTCTTCCACTGCCGATGAGAGAAAAGAAAAGCTCACACTGTTCACACAAGGCCCTAGGCAAGGGCAACATTAGCAAATATTTTTTCAAGGAACAAAAAAACTACATCACTGCCCTTTTCCATTGACATTAATAGACAGGGAAAAACGATCACTTTCGGAAACCCTTGAACATTGTTTAACACAGTGCTGGTGGCCATTTGTCAACATGGTTGGCACGAATTGTGACTTTTTGGAAACTAACTGTGAGATAGTTGAAAACATTGTAGCCCATGTCTTTTGTTGTTTAACTTTATCTTTTCTATCTTGCGTGAAGAAGAATATTAAAGGCATGATTGACGAAACCTACATGTCTTTAAAAACAGGGACATCCACATGACTCAACTCCAAGCATAGGAACCTGCCCCCTCGCTTTAGAACCCTGAAACAAGACAATTGATGTGACAGCAATAAGATTTTAGGACCATAAACTAAGCAAAAAGACTTGAAATATGCCAATTGATGTGACAGTAATGAAATTTCAGATCCATCAACTAAGCAAACATGGTAGAACATGAAAAGCTTAATCCATGATACTGTACATGAAGACAAAAAACTTAATCCAAGGATACGGCGCATGAAAAATAGAGCAACGCCCTGTTCGCTTGAGACAGTGGGGACATCCAGCTCGCGACATACTTGAAACATGGGCAAGGGCAATAATAGCTGTTAGGTTTCTAAATTAGCCAACCTGTAAGCTTCTGATAGAGCTTTCTCAATGTGCGTCACATTTCTGATCCCAAATGCGATAGTGTAACCATCCATAGATCCATCCTCAAAACTCAGAGCTTCTGCATCTCCTTGTATCCAGCTAAGACAATGTTCTTCGCTATGCCCTGAAAATAAAAATCAACTGTTGAACAACATAATCCACACTTGAGATAGAGACGACAAACTATATTACAAAGTTGATGCTTGAGACCTCTTTCTGCAGCACGCTTTTTCCCAACATTTAGCATATTTGGATTAATGTCACAGACGTAAATGTGGGTGTCTTCTTCGGTTTCAGTAAGAGTACCCTGCATAGCTCTGTGACCCACGCTCTTAATTCTTTCCAGTACACGAAAAGCAACATCGCCTGAAGTCATAAAAATGACATCAACAGTCATTGAATTTTTTTTCCTACTACAAATTTCTGCCAGTACAAGAACTCCTGGCAATAGAACCTTTCAGCAGAGAGCAGAAAACAAGAAGCATAAACAAGACACATGGTAGCAACTGAAAGGACTATGGTAGCATTGATTAACATTTGTACGGAAATAATGCCGGCCTCTGATAAACAAGACACATGGTAGCAACTGAAAGGATTAACTACCAATATATACTGATTATATAGATAGATTGAATTGAAGATTATTCAGATAGAATTAATAATGTTTACGTTACTGGTAAAAGTTTGTGTTTGTTATTTCCATCGTGCAGCTGAAAGCAATGAGGGAAGGGGATGGATGTGCATTGCCTGTTCCACCAGCCACATCAAGATGCTTCATCCCCGGAAAGGGATTCAACTTGGAAATAAGCCTGAAAGAAAAGAAACAGAGTTTGAGTGATAAAGGGAGTTGGTTGGATTGTGAAGATAAAAGAAACGGAAAGAGTAAGCAGCAGCAACCTGCCCTTCCACAGCCTATGCAGTCCGACGCTCATGACATCGTTCATGAGGTCGTAGCTGGAAGCCACGCTGCTGAAAACGTTGCCAACCAATTTGCTCTTTTCCTCTTCGCGCACCTGCTTGTACCCTGGTGAACTACGAGAATTTAGGATCTATCTATACAAGCGGGAACAATGGATACAAGCAATGTGTACCGAAGCTGGTGGCGTGGGAGTGGAGGAAGGCTGCCGCCGTTGGGATGCTTGGGGCCTGAGCCTGAGAGGGAAGGAGTAGGCGTCGTTGGAGGCTCCAAGACGCTAGCCTCCTTGCGGTCTGCATCAGGGGCGGATCTAGTAATGGGACCTGGTGGGCGCTCTTCGCCGGGGAAGAGATAGGCGAAGGCCTCGGCACCTGGCGTAGGGTGGCGGCGGCGGTAGCCCACCCAGTCGTCGCATACAGAGAGGGAGGGAGAGAGGGAGGGAGGGAGAGATAGAGAGAGAGGGAGGGAGCGAGCGCACGCTGTGTGAAGGCGACGGATGCAGCGACAGCGGCGGCGAACGGAAGGGAGGAACATGAGGAAGGAGACGGAAACGAGGACGGTTGGGATCGAGATGGATGTTTTTCAATTTGCTACTCCATCTTTATCAAATTGTGTAGTTTTTCTATAAATTTGTTAGATATACATAATAAAATTACTCCCTCCGCTTCAAATTATATGATATTTTGATTTTTTTTATAGGTACTTAGATATACACAGGAAAAAGAAAAGTTATTAAAACAACTTAAAATTTAAAACGGGTGCAGTACCTCTAGTTAAAAACCAACTGGTCTTAACATTGTGGCACAATAAAAACAGTTAAAACCTAGTAACATGGATACATCTATAAAGACTACATGAGCCATGCATATTGTTCTTGGTCTTTATTCTAACAACAAGTTAAATGTTCGGTTCGGCTCGTTTGCTACCTTAAGTCAGCTCATGATCGAGGAGAAAGAAAAAATATATTAGAATCGATAATGAAATATGGTCAAATTATCAACATGATTTCATAGAGAAATGGAAGGGAAAAAGCTAATCTGAATTAATACATGCACGTATATATCTGGATGCATATATGCACTTTATATTTCTATCAAGTGATCGATGAAGCGTTGTGTACATGTTGATCGTTGAAGACTTGGATAGGATTAGGAGTCTAGGACAATGCTAGATTTCAAGTTTTCAACATCCTGGATTTGATCTTAGAAGACGATGAACCAATGTTCGTGCACTATCCTACTAGGTTTGGTTAGGCTTGTATTGAATCTTGGGCGTCTCGACATCGACGTGGTAGTATTCAGTGGCTGCCTGCTAGCGCTTTAAACCATTCTATAGTCAGTTATTCACTGTCTAAATCAGTTATAGACATTGTTCTAAACCGTGGCCTATGGCATTTAGTGACCAGTCTCCTCGGTTACCTAATCGTTGGCTAAATCATGCTATAGCGGCTAAACTGTAAATGGGAGCAAATTAGACCTTCCTCAATTAGCTACGTACGGAGACAGCGGCAACTGTAGCTGAAGATTTAAAACCCTGATTATATATTAGTAAAAATGTATAAATCTCACCCTTACACCATGTAGACCTGGTAATGAAAGACGAACCAAAGACTCAACAAGACTCCGAAGCATGAAGAAAATAGTGGTATTGTAGAAACACAAGTGTCAACGAATAATGCTCATACGGGAAGCACTGTTTCACTGGCTACACCTATACCATTTTGTTAAAGGTAGTTTCGATATTTCTCATTTCCAACTTGTAGAATTAGTTTAAATATTGATTCTTTTTCAACTTTCTCCTTCCTAGTGACATTGATGATATGTGCCCGTCCGATATTTCTTCTAGGACTCTAATTGTTGCTACGTGGGAAGGCTATTTTGGCCCCGTTCGCTTCGCTGAAAAAATAAGCCGAAACACTGTTTCGGTTAATTTGTTGTGAGAGAAAAACACTGTTTCAGCTGAAAAAACAAGCTGAAAAAGATGGATTACTAGAGAAGCGGACAGGGCCTTCGTTCTTTTGGGATGAATGTGTTTTTTTTTATAAGTTGGGGTGAATGTGGTTAACCGTTCCTTTTGGTTTAAACTGTGCATATTGATGTGCTGTAATCGCGGCTTTTGATGGAGGTTATTTTGGTTGTTTGGAGCATGAGCGCTATACAAAATATTTAAGTGAAATGGTTGTTAAATTTGCACTAAAAATAGTGCTTGTATATGTCTATTATGTATTGATGAATCAGACTCTGTTCTTGTGTTATACTGGGCTTATTTCTCCTAATCTGGGCCTTATTTGGGCTATGTTCTTCCTATGACTAACTGCGATACGTGTGGAGAAAGTTGAGACGAAGCCGCCGAACGACCGCCGGACGGCAGCCAAGCAAAGACGAAGCCGAACCGACGAGGAGCACGGAGACTCGGCGAGCTACACCCACAGCCACGGAGATGCTTCTCGAGGAGCTGCTCCGGTGCCAGATGCACGAGTGGTACCCGGCCTTCCGCCGCCACTCCATCCGCACCGTCATCATCCCGCTCCCCGCCGCCTTCGTCCGGTACCTCGTCGGCCAGCCGGCCTACCCCGACCTCGACGCCGACGCCGACGCCGACGCTGACACTGACGACGAGCCGCTCCCGTTTCTCCTCCCCGCGATAACCTCCGGCCGCCAGCCCTTCGCGCCCATCCACGCGCACCACCCCGACCCGGTCTCCCTCAACTCCGACTTCTTCTTCGGCTCCAGCAACGATGACGTCTTCGACCCCGACGCCGACCACCCGCTCCGCCCGGAATTCTCGGAGCTGGAGGCGGCCATCGACGCCGCCATCGCCGAGCTAGGCGGCGCCGCGCTCCCCAAGCTTAACTGGAGCGCGCCCAAGGATGCCACCTTCATGTCTGCCGATGGCACGACTCAGTGCACGTGCTTCGCCGAGGTTGCCATGCTGCTCCGCTCCTCCGATTGTGTGGCCCACGACCTCGCCTCTGCGAGACAATCATGCGAGGATTTCGTGCGCCCGGAGGGTGCTCGACGGAATGCCCAAAAAGTTAGTGCCGGTGCCGAGGAAGTGGCTCGACCAAATGCCGATGAGACTCATGGCAGCGAAGGCACCAATGGAGTTCCAAGTAATTCAAGCAAGATAGGTGAGGAGGGAGGCAAGACAAATGATGAGGACTCTGATGTTGAAGCTGCAACAGAAGAACGTAACGAGAATACTTGGGTGGATGATGGGTTCCAATACTACCTCGCCCTCCGCAAGTAGTACCCAGGCCTACGCCCTGAGTCAGAGTTCCGATGTTTCGTTCGGGAGAGGAAGCTGGTTGCTGTGTCCCAGAGAGACCCATCAGCTTACTACCCATCACTGGCTGGATGGAGTTCTGAGGTGCAACCGAAAATCGAGGCTTTCTTTGATGAAGTGATTAAGCCACAGTTTGCTTCAAACAATTATACGTTTGATGTGTATGTGAGGACAGATGGGCGGCTCAAGCTGATAGATTTCAATCCATGGGGTGGTTATACCTTGCCGTTGCTGTTTACTTGGGAGGAGCTTGAGGAGGAAGGGAGAGGGCCTGAGCTGGAGTTTCGGGTGGTCATGCAGCAGGGTGCAGTGAGGCCAGGATTGATGACAGCAGTGCCGTATGATATGCTTGATTGGGGAGAGGGGAGTGGCTGGGATGTTTTTCTGAAGAAGGCTGATGAGGAGCTTGACAGACAGATGAACTCACTAGATGATGATTCATGATTGCATTTCAGAAAAAAAAAGATGTTTGAGGGTGTCAAGTTTCCTTTTGTTATTGCTTATTAGTAACTAAAGTATACAAGGTAATAAAAAGTTGAATGGGGAAAGTAATAGTTTTTTTTTATTTTGTAGACTATCCTGCAGCGATGTTCTCCATTTTTGCTAAACACAAAAACGTGTCGATGCGCCGAGCACACATCAAGCCGGAAGGATCTGCTTGATGGAGCAAGGCTGGAGATCCGCTTGGCTTCAATACAGGACCAGTCGATCCTGCGAATTCCTCCCGATGACGTGCCAGTCAATTTGACATGCAATTGACAATGAGAGAATTGACAAGGAGAGAAAGTTTATCAATAATTTAAGGTGGAACATGCTGGTCTTGCCCAGACAGTTCCAAGTGTGCCGCTTCGGAAGCAGCCAATGTTAGCCCACTGGATTTTCAGCACGGAGATGTCCGACCACTCACTAATGTTGCCGAGCATGCACTAGTGATGCTGACCATGAACTATCATTGTCCTCCCTCTAGTCATAGTGTGTGGTCGGACAACGTTAGTCGTGGTCGGCAGCGCTGGTGAGTGGTTGGCAACATCGGTGATCCAGCGGGCCAACAGCCAGACGGGAAAATCGATCGAATAGCCGACACGAGAAGAAAATCGACTGTTAAGGACTGTAACACTCACATGTTGTGATTATTTTTATGATGACGAATATGGTGCACACAGATATAAGTAAAATCATCAGCAAGATAAAATATAACTAGTATGAAGCATTGAGCCGATGAGTCTGACGAGAAAGGATATAACATGCAAACAAATCGACTGTCTAATACGAACAGTTCTACAAACGCTCCGAATCTAATCCGCTATCATCAACAGTGAGGTTCGACAGGATCGATGCAGCTATGATGATAACAACAAACTAAAGCCAAAGAATTTATAAAACCATACATACCTTGACAGGTTTTTGAAAAACATGCTATATCTGTGAAGGCGCAGGCGAATCGACTAAAAGAGCCGATTCCGGTAGAAAAAAGGGTCACAACATGTGAACAATCGACTATTCAATACGAGCAGACCTATCAACTCCTCAAACCTAACCTATCATCTTTAACAGTGGGGTTCGACCGGCTCGATGGTAGCCATAATAAAGATTACAGATTAAATCTTTAAAGAAAACGGATCTACTCATATTTAACAGGATCATTAAGACATACTATGAGCATTAAAGTGCAGGCGATCGGCTATTTAGCAGATGCAGGCACAACAAACAGCTAAGGTCACGCCAGATCAGGAACAAATCTACCAACTAGCATCCTCCAATCTAAAATGCCATCAGTGGGGATCGACCGGATCGTTGCAGCCATAATAGCGAACTATATACCAGATTTAACTAGCCAGCAAATATCTTCAAGATCATACGTGCCTTAACCGCGTACTATGCACGATCAAGATCGAGGTAGAACAGCCAATAAAACGTAACCCGTCGCTCAAAGTAAGAAATATCGCATTGTCACATAGCAAACGACGAACTAAAAGCGTATGAGGCCGATCTAGTTCGATCTTGATCGGGCAAGTTGATGTTGCTGAAAAACTATAGACAGTAAAAACATCAGCAAGATCGGTAACTTAATGAGTCTACCCGAAGGATGCTATCCTTAGGTAGAGTCGATAACTTGACCTTAATCTAATTCGAGCAGTGGAGGTCGAACTTAACCGATGCAACCGTACTTGAACTAGATAAATATCGATAACTAGCTTATACTAGAGCTCGCAGTGGAGGTCGAACTTAACCGATGCAGCCTTACAAACCAAAATATAAGCCATGACGGTACTGTAACACCCCGGTGTTATGCCTACATTTAGGCACTGCAAATCATGCATATCATGCATCATCAAGCATCCTAATCATACATGCATAATCTTGCATATAATAACTGAAACATTACTTCGAAACATACGAAATATGTTTGTGAAACGTAAATGATGCATACATTTATTAGAGTTGTTTTGCTCTGATTCTTGCTTGCTAGGTTAGTAGAACATGTTTGGCTGCTATTGTAAATCATCTAGCAATGTTTAGTTCAATTTTTGGAGCAATGTGTGTATTCAAATTAATTCAAAATTTGGCTTCAAAAATAAATTCCAAAAATTAGGGTTTTGAGCTAAACGTGGACTTTGATCTTCCAATTCAAAATCTAGAAAGAATTTGGCTGTGGTCCTAAAAGCAAAGTTGTAGAGAATTAAATTCTAAGCAACTTTCATTTTTGGTACATTTTCAAAAGAGGTCATCTTCTTACTCAAAATAAGATTTGAAAGCTGGCTTTTAAAAAGTTCTTGAAAATATAAATGAAAAAGAGTTTTTCCTGTTTTTTGGGTCAGTCATTGCTGCTTTACCCAGACCCATAAGCCGGCCCAAGCCAAAGCCCCAGCGCCTCGCCTCAGCCCACCCCAGCGCATCCACCCGGCTTGCCTCCACACGCAACATCCCCTATTTGCTTTCGCCACGCACGCCCATGCGACCATGGCAGAGAAATCCGCCAGCGTGGCGACCCCGCCAGCGTGCCACACCAGCCGTGTCGACCATGACTGGCACGACATACATGCGCCACGCTACTTCACCTCTTGGTGCCCGTCGCTCGCTCACTCCCCGCCTGTTGCCTTCCTTCCTTCTCCTCCAGCCGAGAGCCTCAAGCTCTGCCCTCTCACCACGCACCCGCCGGCGTGATTCACCGCGGTGCTCCTCCACGGCCGGCAATCAAGCACCAGCAGCTCCGCCTCGCTCTCCGGCACCGGTGCTCGTGGTTGTGCCGTCGTTTGAGCCGAGGTAGCGCTTTTTTCCAAGCTTCGCGCCGTCGTCCATGGCGCCCGCCGTGCTTCGGCCGCCGGTGGGCGCCCTCTTCCTCCCTTCTCGGTCGTGCTTAGCCGCTCGTTTTATCCATGGCCTCGCGAACCTCCTGCGCTCGCTTGCTTGCGCCGCTGCGTGGCGGAGATGGCCGCCCGACCTGTGGCCGAAGCCACGTCGCGCCCACACACACACACAAGACCTGCCCGAAAGCTTGACCCGACCACCAAAAGGCAATGGCCAGCCAAGCAGTGTGGGTCAAGCCTGGCACGCCAGCCAGCCAGCGCTCCTCCTCAGCTTGGCCAGCATACAGATATGACCATGGGCCAGCTGTTCCCTTCGGGCCGGCCCAGCAGTGTTTTAAATGAATTGTTTTCAATTTATTCATTATTATTTGAAAACAGAAATGGTTTGCAAAATATTTGGATACTCAAAGTTGCTCCAAATTTGTTGAAACAAATTTTGCTAGGTTCCTTATCATCAGATCTACTTGGGAAAAATTGTGCATGTCATTTTTGAGATACTTTTCTATAGGATTTTATTTAATCTTGAATATTGCTGATAACTTGAAAAATATGTAGAAAAATATATAGGCTTCAGAAAAATATGATTCCAAGTTTGTTAATCTTCTTATGTCATGTACTTCCTAGGAAAAATATGTTTCATGTATGTGCTGTGGGAAAAATTTGAGGTGTAGTTCAAGTACCTTTAATGGCTGATTTTTGTTATTTTTGCTAGAGCACAAATTTTGTATAAAACATGCATGTGACAATTTTTGTACAGTCATTATATACCATGAAGAACCTAGGAAAAATATTAATTCTGTTGTTTGACACTTTTCATAGTACAAAGTAATTTCATGCTCATTTTTATGCTATAGCTTGTCATTTTTGTGTAGGATAGTTTACTTATCCAAATGCCATGAAATTTTTATGGTAGTCTGTTTAGGGTAGTATTATGCTACTGTAATTTTCTCAGATTTTTAGGAGCATCAGAAATATAGGTTGCTATTCAAACCTATTATTAATTAGGGTTTAAGCCAGTGTTGCCTTAAGTGTGATTAAGAAATTAGTAAAGCTTTGGTGTATCTTTGAAGCATTTAATAAAATATGTTGACTTAACATATTGGTAGTAGAAGAGAATGCAGATAGATGACATGTGCTTGTAGCATAGTTTCTTGGATGATGTTGTCTACCTTGCCTTTCGACATATTCATTGCATTCATCTCCTTGATGCACCGATTGCATAGGCACTTACACGCATTGCATCATACAGGATCGCAAACCGAGAGCCCAGTCGTCATTCCCGAGGAGCCCGAGGAGCAGCGATTCGAGGTGCAAAGGCGGGGAAGTGTCGAAGTCGACGAGGAGGACGTTGAAGAACTTCCGGAGTGCCCCGATCACCGTCCCCGAGCTCTCCTTCGAGAGAGGCAAGCCCCGAGCATCTTTCTCCCGGTTTGCAATGATTTCGTTAAATGCTTTACTTTAAATTGATGCATTACGTTCAGGAGTTGTTTGCAACCGTTGCTTTGCATTATACCTTGTTTACCTTTGTTATACTATATCCTTGTTACCACGTATCCGCAATCGAGTCAATGCTTAGCGGCTTAGACCGGTAGAAGTCGGGTGATTTCTGTCACCGCGAGCTATAGGTGGTTACCTGATCTGTTTGGATGGCTATGAAGTCATGGTATAACTAAGTGTTAAATGAAGTTGAGACCGAGGCGGAGACTTGCGGGGTTTTGACCGTAGTGTTTCCGTCGTAATCGATTAAGGACCGACCGTTGTTGGGCCTCGAGTCATGTTGAACGATGCCTTACATTTAGCTGGGCGGATAAAGTACCTTCCGACCGCTGAAGCCGGGAGATTTTTTTGGCCGAGTAGATTGCCCATGGCCAAGACCGTGTGCGAAGCAGTGTGGTAGGACACGGGCGGGATGATAAGACCAAAGTGCGGTCGGTCGGCCCCGGGTACATGTGGTTCTGGCAAACTCGAGATACCGGAAAGTTGACTCGGTGATCAATATCTCACTTTAGCGGGTGAGTGAGATTTGTGTAAGGAATAAATCACCACCTGGTTAGGAATCGATTCGAATCGCCATCGCCTCCCGGATAGTGAGCACTTGACTTGAGTTACTTCATCGTAGTAAATGTTTATGGAACA